TCAAAATATCAAAATAAGCACTCAAAAACGATTTTTTATTTGTTAAAGTTAGGCCTGAAACAGCCTTATTCTGCTCCACATTAAACAGGGATCGTCGTGTATTTACAAGCTTTTTCACTCTCATCCATTACTATATTTTATTTTTTTATTATTTAGGGAGTATTATAAATAGTTATGCTTTTAAAAGAAAAAAAAACTACTATTGTTATAAATAACACATTCAATTGAACTAAACTATGCATGCCTATTGAAATATATTTACACATGGCTTGTGTATATTGTATATATACATATATATTATTCATACCTTCGGTGTATAGGACACAAGCAGATTTTGTAAAAAAGTGCGTCTTATACACCGAAAAATATGGTAATACCCAACTTCACAACTTTCTGTGGTAGATACTGGAGGAAACTAATCATACATTTCTTACCCAACATTTATTTGTTTATGGATAGTTCCCTGAAAGAATGATAGTAGGTTACAAAGGATTTCAGAAAAAATAAGCCTGGGACAGATCTAACTTTGAGAAGTTTATTATAATTAGGATTAGTACTGGGAAAAGCATTAGTTTTGTTATTGAAGTGTAAGTATTTATAAATAGCCAAAAACCTGTCTCTAGATAAGATATTAGTAAACCAAGGAGTATGGAAAGGAAATAGGTAGAGCATTAGTCAGAAATAGAAGGATTACATTTGAGAAACATAGCTATAGTTAGACCAGTGTAAGCTAAAATATCCTGAACAGTAATATCAATCCATTTTTCTCACTCTCTATGGACAGGTTAAAGGGTATATGTTACAACATTTTAGTTATTTTCAAAATTTAATTAACCAACTTTATTATCATTGTATGTCAATAAAATTAGCATCACAAAGTATTTTATAATTCAAATTTTAACATTATATGTTTTAATTTCTTAATTCAAGAGAAAATATTTAGAAAAAATGCCAAATATGCTTTTTTGTTTGTCATGTATCACGTTTTCATATCTTATTGCTCAATTTTTATTTTATTATCCCTATCATACAAGGTATATTGTGGTTAACGAATTATAAACTCAAACTTCAGCTACTTAAACCTTAATAAATACTAGTAATATATATATATATATATACATGTTCCTAAGCACATACACCCTTTGTACAACTATACCAGTAAATTCTAACCACTTTGGAAAGATAACTAACATCTTAAAACCTACCAAGTTTATTGAATCAGCTTGGACTTTGTACAGACCCATAACATAATCATTTTCTTGCACTTTTATTACCTTAGACAATTCTTGTTGCAACCACTGTACTATAAACAAATCAATAGATCCTCTTCCACTATGTTCTCAGAACTGGGAATATGATAAACTCTGTGGTAAAATTCTGGTAATTGCATTACACATGCTTATTTGCTACAGATGGTGTCAGGTAAATAGTCTGTTGGCAGAAGCAGTGATTCATTGCTTTATGACCTGCAAGTTTCTACTTCTGCCTTGGTCCATACTAAAAAGAGTAGAACAGTACTACTCATTTTATTTTGCATTTTTAAATTTTTTAACTCTTTATCATCCATGGAAGTGTTTTTTCCATTACCGTAATTGGTGGAAATGATGTCTAGCATGCATCCCCTTCAGATGGATTCCTGTACGTGGTGAGGGGACCTCCCAGAGAAGATTCTGTATTTTCAGTTTACATCCTCTGGGATCTAAACATCCACCCACGTGTTTGCTGTGCATGGCTACCCATGAAGGGGAGGAAAGGATCCTGATGGTTGAGTGGTATCTGGGGCACTGCCACACACCACTTTGGCCTTGAATTCCTATAAGTGGGTGGCCAGGGTCAATCAGCTGGTCCTGTTGGGCTAGGGTCAACTGAGTACCAGTGTTGGGCATTCTCAACAGGTGTTGTGGACATTGTGTCTGATGCTGGTGTTTTGGGTATAGAGCTCACAAAACCCTGGTGTTGCTGCAGTGTCCTTGTTTGGCATTGTAGTGTGTTCCCTCATAGGACCCCATGGTGGGTGGGGTCATTTTGGATCTCCCAAATCCTCAAAAAAATTAAATAGTAAAAAATAAATAATTGGTAAACGACCATGTCTTGAAGACTGACCAGCAATCTTGAACCCTTTCTGAACCTGTACCTCGTTTTTTGATCTTACATTCCTTGTTCTTACAAATCTTTAGGGCAGATGTCCCCCTTTTTTATTCAGAAGGGATTAAAGGGGCTTGTTGGCTCTCCAAGTCAGTTAAGAAGCTACATTCTGGGGACATTGTGGTGGAAACATCTACACCAAAACACAGTGAACTCCTTCTTAACTCAAGGGCCATTGGGAATATACCCATTGAGGTTACTCCCTATGCTACTTTAAATTCCTCGTGAGGAGTTATTGTTGAGAGAGATTTGAAGAACATCCTCAAGTCAGAAATCCTCGCTGGTTTCTCCAGCCAAGGAGTTTCTGCAGTGTGACGTATCTCCACTCATAAAGAAGGAATTATTCTGCCTACCAATGTTCTTATTTTGATGTTTACATCGCTACGTCTATCTGCCTCTTCCAAGGCAGGTTATCTGAACTGCAGGGTATGGTCATATATTCCCAACCCTCTCGGATGTTTCCAGTGTCAGCAAATTCAGTCAATCGAAGGCATCTTGTCGTGGTTCTGAGACATGTGCTTGTTGTGGTGGCAAAGACCACAATGCCTACAAGTGCGAACTGAACCCTCACTTCATTAATTGTAGTTGTTCCCACCTGTCTTACTATTGTTCTTGCACTAAATGGGTGGAGAAGAAAGAGGTACAGCATTTTAAAACTGTTAACAACATTTCTTACCCTGAGGCTCGGAAGTTATTATCCCCTACTTCATCTTGGACATATGCTGCTGCACTATGCTCCACTGCTACAGTGGGAGTGCAGACTGACCTTTCCTTGCCTCCATCGTCAGAGTCTTTTTTGCATCATGTGAAGAGTCTTTTGCCCTCAATGTAAAACCGAGTTGACAAGTCCACATATTCCTATTTCTGTCCCCAACATTCCTTCCATTGACTGCCTGGGTCCACCTCATTTGGCCCCTGCTTCTGGTGTCTGTTCAGATCCATCTTCTTTGGTTCCTGAGATGTAGAACGATTATTTGTTCATGCCCTCAGTCGCTGGAATATAAGTCTAACGACAGAGATCTGCCCACTTGACCAAGGCCAGGATCCGTGGAGGTTGATAGACCTCCTTCTAGTAAAGAAAAATGGCATGGTCATAAACAGAAGGGTTCTCTGCCCAATTCTCTTCCATGTTGGTACAGTGGAACTGTCAAGGTTTTCGTTCTAATCTGGATGATATTAAGGTCTTAATCAACTCCTATCATTACGTGTGTCTTTCTTTACAGGAAAAATTCCTGAAACCTGCCAATGCACTCTTCTTTCGGCTGTTTTCTTTATACAGGAATGACAGGTTGTGTGATGGACA